CGAACAACGTTCATTGCATTTTGCAACCCAAGGAGTGACAGAACCGATAGTATTTATAGAGTACTCTTCTTGCTACGGATCCCTTGTGCCCTGGTCCCTTCAAATTGACATGTATGCATTATTCAGGCCATCCCTTCAGCGTTTTTAAGATAGTGCTTTCAAGTTCAGTACTTTTCTTTGGTAATCAGTTACTCACATCACATGATTTCAGTAGTCGGTAGTGATGATGAAGTCCTTTCCTAAAGGCAACTTTGTTTATTTTTTTCAAGTAATAATATGCTGCGAGACTGCTAGTTGTACTTTGTCAGGTAATGTTTCACACAACAACTACTACGCTCTGTATGTACAGAGCTGCCGCTCTGTGTTCATGAAGAAAAGAACTGACTACATATTGACAATAATGCCATAGCATCGACATAGGGGGCCACATGCCGGTAAGGAGATAGGCGATGAGAGTGACATGCGGACGCACATATCGGTACAATTTCATCGTGCAATCAGCATGGCACACTAGTTGATTAACTCAAGTTAGGGTGATTTGGACCTCATGTAGCACGATTAGTAAGTTTAGGACTTCAAAGTGTACTTCTGGAAGTTTAGGAACCTAGATGGTATCCCGAGCTAAACTCCAGGACCATTCTACATTTAATTAAATAAAGCTTACTTCATCTAAAAGGAGGAAACTTTTGTATGTAACTATAATCGGGATTGACCATCAGTAATAGTACTCAATCCGAGCTCCAGCGAGCTCCTTAGGGCCCACATACACTGCTTCTTCGTGATGTCCTGATAATAGTAACTGGGCTGTTATCGACCAGCACGACGAGAAGCCCATAAATTGTTCAGCCACATGAATTTCCCTGAAAAATGAAAGTATGTAAAGTTGGTTTCGTGGATTGAGTTTCAGTACAGGAAAAACCATCTCATTTCCTTCTGTTTTCAGAAGAAAAAGGAAACTTCCTTTTATTGCACTGCGGAAATTGATGCTAACACAGAAATGAAAGGCGCATTAATCATTTGCAGAACACATGAACTGTGGGTTTATCCCCTGGGACTAAAAAATGCCTTGATTCCATTAGATAACATGGGAATTTTAAGCCTCCAAGTCTGAATTAGCAGTGCTTGATGGAAATTCAGACCTCCAAACCGTCGGGATTTGCCAATGACACACATGCGTGCAACGTAACATCCCTAACCTGCGGCCTACTTGGATATAGGATCTGACTTCCAAGCCTGCACAACAGCACAAGCTCTCTTCTTCCAAAGTGGCCAATGCTGGACTGGATATCAGCAGCTCCGTCCGTTCCTTGAAACAGGCACTGCCCGACGCCCCAGCCTCAGTATTTGACTCATTGATCTGCTCCACCCTTCTTCCTAAAAGATAGTGAGTAACGAGGAAGCGGATCGCGCGACCGGGTTCTCTCTGTCTGCATCCTAATGTGCTCTTCATGACCTGATGTTTCATGAATTATGATGACAGACGTTTCAGGATATGCCACAAGATACACAAAATGTTAATAGAAGTAAGCGACGATATGAGGAGCAACCTCAAGTTTCACGATGCCTTCCAAGCCCGCAAGTGTACAAATCGCGCTATCTACATTGCCAACCAATCTACCATCTCGCTCCCTTGCTGTGTAGCTTGCATTACTATTTCTATGTTGGATCATGCTAACACAGTTCATTGCATTTTGCAGCCCCAAGAGTGATACATATTTATAGAGCATTCTTCTACCTGCGGATCCCCGTGTGCCCTGGTCCCTTCAATTGACATTATTCAGGCTGTCCCTTCAGCGTTCTTGAGACAGCGCTTTCAAGTTTAGTACTTTTCTCTAGGATTATCAGTTACTCACATCACATGGCTTCTGTAGTCGGTAGTGATGATGAAGTCTCTTTCTAAAGGAAAGTTTCATTTTTTTTTTCAAGTAATAATATGCTGCAAGACTGCTAGTTGTACTAGTTAGGTAATGTTTCACTGAACCACTACGCCTTGCAAGTACAGAGGTACCGATCTGTATTTCATGAAGAAAAAAATTTACTACATATTGATGAATGGATAAATGTTATCTTTAAGAATTGTTGGCTGCTCATAATTCAACCAAGTTTGCATAGGGCTACATGGCCAAAATTCTTTTTCGCTAAGTTCAACAAGAAAATAAATTGCATCTAGTTTTACGGTGGTTGAAAAAAATGAACCGTTTATCAAGACAAATTGGCATAGAAATGGAAGTTGCCTAGAGAAAAGTACCCAAAATATAAAAATGGTAGGGATAGTACAAAAAATGTGGGACGAATAACTAAATTATTGTTTTTTACTTTTTAGGAGCGCTTCAGTTTACTCAAGAGTAAATTAGTAAATTCTTAAACTTTCTTTACGGCGCCATGATCAGCGATGTCAACAAGGAATTCTTCGTCGGGGGATAGCTCCCAATCCCCACGGGGAGAAAATTTCTCAATCCTCGTCCCCACGAATGCTTGCGGGAGAGCTTTTCATCCCATCCCTGTCCCCATTACAAAAGCAACATTTGGATAGCAAAAGCAAATTCATGATGTCAAATCAATATAAATTGAACAGGCAATATTTCATATTTTTTTTGAACGTACTGGCAGGAGCTCTGCCTTTCAAATAAGATAGGGAAAAAAAGTTTATGTAGAAGCAAGGACAAACGAGATTATGGTTTCACCCCCCCCATAAGCATGTGAGCTAAACGTAATCAAATGCTCTTTTCTTTTGCTCTATGTCTTCCTTTATCCTTGCGGCTACTTGCGGCACCGTTTCAATCATGTTGTCGAAAATTCTCCTATTTCTCTCTTTCCATATATTCCAAAAGGTGTAGATTACTACCTCGTTAAGCCTCCTACGCTCAGATCTTAGCACTTTTGCTGCCGCGTCTTCCCACCATGACTTGATATGGGTGAGGTTTACCTGTTGCTGTTGTTGCATTTGAGTGAAGTTTTCCCACGAGAGGATTTGATCCCAAACCGCCTTAGCAAAAGGGCAACAAAGGCATAGGTGGATGCCTGTCTCTAAGGGACCATTGCACAGCACACATTGTTGTTGGTGTGGCCACCCTCTCTTTTGTAGGTTTTGTGCCGTTAGAATTTTATCTTGCACTAAGATACAGGTGAAGATCTTGCATCTGTTCTCCACATGCGCTTTCCAAATCAAGTCCGTACGGAAGGGGAGGAGCGAACCTCTGAATTGGATTCTGTAGGCCGATCGGGTGGAGTAATTCCCATCGTTGGTCCAACGCCAGGTGATGGTGTCCTGGACGCCCTATTGCAGGTGCACATCCTGTATTCGTATTCAGAGGGACACAAACTCCTCTACGTGGATAGGCGAGGTGATTTTCCTTCCTAGTTTATGCATCCAATTGTTGTTCCGGAGCTCTTGTTGCACCGTTCGGTTTGTCCTTGAGACTAGGCGGAACAAGTTCGGGGCTAGGTACCTAGGAGCTTGACCATCGAGCCAACTATGGTGCCAAAACTTTGTCTTTGCACCATCCCCCAAAGATATAATGATTGAGGAGTTGAAGAGGAGGCGGTCATCATCAGAACATGGAAGCTCCGAGCTGCTCCAAGCCTTGGACTCGTCCACCCATTCTTGCCATAGCCATCGTAACCGGAGGGCTCGCCCAAATCTCTCCAGGTCAGGGACGCCTAAACCGTCCAGGTCTTTTGGTCTGGTAACCGTTCGCCAATTAACTAGACAATGGCCACCATTAGCATTCTCCACCCCCCTTCCACAAGAAAGATCTCCTTATTTTGTCGATTTTTTTCTTAGCCCAAGCGGCCAGAGGAAACATAGTCAGGTGGTAGGTTGGCATGGAGGAGAGGACAAAGGTTACAAGAGTGAGGCGTCCCGCTTTGTTTAGCCATCTTCCTTTCCATTTGGGTAGCCTGTGCCCAATACGGTCTATGAGAGGTTGCACATGGATCCTTTGCAGTGTTCTAATGTGTAGTTGTAGGCCCAAGTATTTGCATGGGAAGCCCCCTCTAGTACCGGTGAAAGGTGCCAAGACTTGGTCTAGGTCGACGTTTGCACAACCGATTGGATGTACTGAGCTCTTTTGTAGATTAATATGGAGTCCTGAGAATGTGCCAAAAGCTTGCAGGATGATTTTGATGGCTTCTACATCGTCTTTTGTGGGGCTGACGAAAATGGCTGCATCATCTGCATACATCGAGGTTCTCCATTTTGCCATCGTGATTGGTAATGGGGTGAGTATACATCGAGGTTCTACATTTTGCCGCCGTGATTGGTAATGGCCGCATCATCTGCATCATCGCATACATCGAGGTTCTACATCGTCTTTTGTTGGGTTGCCAAGTCAAGGAAACGTTGAAGCGGGTCCATGGCTAGGATGAATAGCATGGGTGAAAGCGGATCCCCCTGGCGGATGCCTTTGGCATGGCTAAAAGTGCCCCCAGTCGCCCGTTCAGCATGGGTGTCGAGGTGGATGTACGTAGGAGGATGGAGATCCACTCACGCCATCGCTGTCCGAAGCCCAGAGCCTGTAGAGTCTCAAGCAAGTATCCCCAATGTACCATGTCAAAGGCTTTGTGGATGTCTAGTTTCATGAACAAAGCCGGAATCTTCTGCTTGTGTAGTCTTTTTATCGCGCCCTGGACGTACAAAAAATTATCATGGATGCTTCTGTTTTTTATAAAAGCGCTCTGGCAGTTCGAGACAAGGGAGTTGAGTCAAGGGCAAGTCTGTTAGCTAACACTTTGGAGAAGATCTTTGCAATGCCATGGACTAGGCTGATGGGTCTAAAATCAGTAACTCTTGTTGCATTGGCTTTTTTGGGGAGAAGGATAATGGATGCCAAGTTTAGCCATTCGAAGCCCTGGGCATTCAATGTGAATAAACTGTTCATGGCCGCCATAACATCATCTTTAATGGTTTCCCAACAAGCTTTGAAGAAGGCACCCGTGAAGCCATCCGGTCCTAGCGCTTTGTCGGAAGGCATTGAATATATGGTTTTTTTTATCTCTTCCTAGGAGAAAGGCATCTCCAGATCGGAGAGATCATGTTGATTGTAGCCAAGGGATTGCCAGTTGATTGTGGAAGCTCTCGGCACCGCGGAGCCAATGTGGTTTGTAAAATAATCTTGTATCACCTTTTCTTTATCTTGCTGCGCCACTGCGATTCCCCCATCCGTATGTAGACAATGTATGTAATTCTTTCTCCATCGTGCATTGGCTCTACTGTGGAAAAATTTTGTGTTAGTATCTCCACATCGGATGTATGTTAGCCTTGATCTCTGTCTGATTCTTGATTTTTCAATAGCAGCGAGGCCAAGGCCAATGCTACGGGATTTGAGGCGGCGACATAGGTGAAGCTCCATGGCAGTGAGCAACCTATGCTCTTGGGCTGCTTCTAATTGTAACAATACTTCTTTTACTATGGCGAGCTGTATCCTCATATCCCCTATCTTGTCTTTCTTCCAGCGCTTGATCGCTTTTGCCACACGCGCCATTTTGATGTGTAATCGCTTCATAGGAAGAGTCGAGGTGACCGGCCTGTTTCAAGAATTATGGACAAGATCTTGAAAGCCTTCCATCTTTGTCCAGTAATTTTCGAAGCGGAAGGACGTGCTCTGATGGTGGTCAAGCTCTCCCTAGAGTAGCAGTGGGGTGTGGTCTGACATGAGCGATGGGAGGGAGTGTAAGAAACACGCGGGGAAGAGCAATTCCCATTTGGGGGTACATAGCAGTATGTCAATTCTAGTGAGCGTCGGGTTGTCCTGTTGATTGCTCCAAGTGAAGCAGCGTCCATTTAGCTTGATTTCTTTGAACCTCAAATGATCGATCGCCGCTCTAAATGCCCCCATAAGGCGCTGGTTTAGGTTGGAGTTGTTCTTGTCTTTCGCCTGGTAGATGAGATTGAAATCTCCCAGGATGAGCCATCTATTGTGGACCGACGGGGGAATGTTCTTCAATTCTTGGAGAAATTGTAGTTTGGCTGCCTCTCTCTGCGGGCCGTATACCACCATAATTTGCCACCTTGTTCCATCGGCCCTCATGTTGATCTGCACGGTTATGGCGTTCGAGGTAAGTACAATGTCGGAGAGGTCGAAGTAGTCTTCATTCACCGCAAGGAAGACGCCTCCTCGAGTCTGTTCCGCCGGTAGCACAGTATAGGAGTTTACAAACTTCGGTCCGACTGTTCGGCGCACCACATTATGATCCATAACTTGCATCTTTGTTTCTTGTAGACATACGATGGTGGCGGCAGTGGTTCTCACAAACTCGCACACCGAGTCCTGTCGTGCTCCGTCATTCAAGCCCCTGACGTTCCAGTTAAGTATCTGGCAATTCAACTGTGCCATAAGGAAACCAATTGTGCCCTTTTTAATAATAAACTGAGGAGGTAGGCAAGCAGGACGCCCTCTGTGGCTGTGATACAGGCAATAATCAGTAAGATAATGACACGGAGGCATGCGTTCTTGAGAGCTGCAAATTGGCGTCGCCGATACATCTGAAAGCCATTGGCTGTCGGCAGAGCGATACAAAGCAAAAGTTTGCTGCTCTCAGAGCTGATGCTACAGCTAACTACGAGGTGAAGGTGGTGGGGAGGCGACTGTAGGCCTCTGGCTGTCGCCCCGCCCAAGCACCATAGCTGGACACTCACAAAAGATGTGGAGCTCCGTGAGCTCCCGTAGCGTTGGACGATTACTAACATAGTCCAAAGATCTACCCCTGAGATTCAGCAGCTATCTAGGCGTTCGTGGTGGTGGCGCCACGTCGAGGCCACACAAGACCGTCAGCGCCTTGGCGGCGTCGTCGGTGAGCGGCCCCTTGAACAGGTTGAAGTAGTGCAGCAACGCCTCGTCATGGTTGAGACCTTGGACGTCGAGGATGCCAAGCTTTTTCATCAGGACCTGCCTGGCCTTCGCCTGAGTGTCACCCCTCGGCCAGTTATTGGCCGCAATGCGCACGCTCCTGCGTGCCGGGGCCGGGACCGTTCCCCTCTTGCGTCGCTGTGGAGGGCTGGGCTGGCGCACTGGACCCAATATTTTATATTACAAGAGACATCTAATTTAGGGTTTAGTTTGCGATTTATACCACTAGTCTATGTGTTGAACTTTCGGTAGAATTTTAACAAGGCGACAGTAACTCTGAAGTCTGAACCTACGGTTAGGTTGTGTTTTATTTACTGATGGATGCTGGCAGGCAAGAGGCAAGCGTCTGTTTTATGTGTGATGCAGGGATCGCCGGTCTCTTGGGTATGATTGTTGTTTAGTTTACTGATGGAGGCTGGCATCTCTCATCTCTCTCCAAATTCCAATGTGTGTAGTTTCACCTAATATTGTTTATTGCATAGATGTGAAATATTATTGGCGCAGAATCTCTTGGGTATGATTATTTGACGCAAAAGGTTAGGTAGGAGTATGTGCAATGTAAAGTCGAGGACAAATTACACTCAGTAGTAGTCCTGGGGATCTCATACTCCTGTATGGTAGTTTTAAGCATTCTTGCATCAGCATGTGTCACGAGCACACAATATTCCATCCTCCTGATATATAATAAAAAACCTGGACCAGAGTAGTACAACAAATCTTTCATGACAACAGTTTATCAATATATTGTTATGTTGGATAATCTTTACAACATACAGAAGTTAAGGATAATCTCATCTCTTAGTTCTTTATATACCAATATGTGCAGAAATACATCAGCCAGAAGGCCACCATGTTGACTTCAACTTCCAAATCAGAAGGAAATTGCAGTTACAAGTTTTTATGCATTCCTATAAGTTTACCCTAGCATGTTAAAAAGGATTTAGGACACAAAGTGAAGTCGATGCACACATCCCTTTGGTGCACAGCAAACACAATTGTTACAAACGAAAACTAAAACCTGTAAAATCATTGATCTTCGTCCCCTTTTTTCCCCTCCTTGATGGGCCATTACATTTCGTAACACAAAACAGGAGCATAATGCAGAGAGGAACACACGATGAAGTGCTCATTTGCTATTCTTAGCCTACGGTACAACACAAGACTCAATTCTACACCTCAGGTAAGCTTTGTCCTACCAACAACTACAAAACTGCCACACTGCCGATCGTGTAACCACTCTGATGCACTTACATTCTGATAGTAACCTATGGCCAAAATTTCACTGAAGTTTAGCCTCTTTGTAAAATGGGAAACCTCAGCTCTCATCATCCGTATCAATGCTGGAGAGCAAGCTCTTCAATGTCTCATATGTCATGAAGGCAATTCCAACACTAGGAACAACCTTGAGGTACTCAGGTGCAATACCTCTGTAGAAGCCACGCAGACCTTCCCTCTGCAAGATATCACGGATAGTTCCAGTTATGGTTGATTTCTGGACAGACGCTGTCCCAGCTGCTCCTTGAAGTTGCATCTGCCGTTTTACAAGATCAAGGGGAAATGTGGCTGCAACAATGAATATAGAATTTAACATCCATTGTTGAAAATCATTTCTTTTATGATGTCAGGCAATCAATTTAGCAATGCAAGTGGATAAATTTATGTCTGTCTATCTGCTTTATAAAAGCATATAGCTGCATAAGTGTGCTGCTAGCTCCTTCAACAGAGATCATTCTTGTTGTGCAAGCAATAATATAAGTGCATATCATGGCTTTGTTTATTCAGTAAAGAAAAAATCGACAATGAAAATCATTAGGGATCAAATGTCAGTTCTTACCTGTCGATGATGCAATACCAGATAGACTCCCAGAAAACAAGCTAACAACTGCAGTTGAATCATGGGGCCTGGTGCATATATATCCATAGGCATCAGTTGGAATTTTGGACAACAAAATAACAAATCCAAGAAGGCGTTACAATATAAACAAAGAGTAATAATTATGAGCACCTTTCCATTTGCCAATGAGACCTCAGTGATTCATAGACAGAAAAGCTGATTGCTATGCTAGGTCCAACTCCCTGTAATTCCTAAAAGTTACTGGCAACCCAACATTAAAGAAGAATATATATATATATATATATATATATATATATATATATATATATATATATATATATATATATATATATATATAAGTAAAAGGTCCATGACCTACCAACAATGTGGCCCCAAGGCCTTTGTACAATCCTTTGACACCCTCATCTCTACAAATTGTAGACACCGCATGGAAGATGCCCTTGTAATACCGAGTTGTTTTCTGCAGAAATTTAGATGAAAAGAATAATATAAAACCTTGGTCCATAAACCAACACCGTGCACAAGCTGATTTAAAGGAGTACAAAATTGACCAGGTGTTCATTTTTATTTGGGATATAAGAATAATACAGAGTATTACCTGTGTCGCCAAACGAGTACGGACAACATCCAACGGGTAAGTTAAAGATGCAGCAGTTATTCCCGCCAAACCACCACCAAGCGAACGTACAACACCAACACTATTTGAGTCTCTATCCAAGCCAGGAACCGTTTGGAGAAGCTGAAATACTTATCTAAAATCAGCTCATGAAAATAGTATTGAATGCCGAAGCTCACTATGCAATGTTTTAGTTAAGTGCTAAAGCACAGAATCTTTGGTGCTTACATTTTTGTAGCGCTCGTATGAATAGAAGCTGATGGCAGAATAAGGTAAGCGGTGTACAATTGTCACTAGATTTCCTTTCCAAAAGGCTCCAAACCCTTCTTCTCGAAAAATTCGTGAAGCCTCACGCCATATGCTATACTTCCTTATAGTCGCAACATCTGAATGCATACCAGCAACCTGTCAAATCAGCATGTAACGGACTCGTATAAGAAATCTTAATGTCAAGAAGGTGTTGACTGTTTCTTGTGAATCAATATCAGATCAGACATGCACACACAATTAATTAGTAACAACTGCAGTAGTTAAATATTGTGAAGCAGAAATAAAGAGCTCAGGACACTCATTAAGCATCAGAATGGATTGCTGCAGTAAAAGAGAACAATAAATGCAAAATTGCCTATATGATACTGTGTTGAACATTTATTAAATGTGCGCAATTGGCAAGATTATATAATGTCTCCACCTCTACAAAAAAGTGTTGTGGGTTTCCATATATGATAGGCGGAAACAATTTGAGTATTAATCAGAATGTAGACCATAAAACTCCCTCTTAGCATATTAAGTACAATTCCAATAGCAAATGTAGTATTCATGTTCATTGAAAAGAGATGTCCTGTAACATGCTTGCTTAGTTACTTTCATGATATGCTGTGTACATCACATTGCATGAAGTAAACTCACTGGCTACTAACACAAAGGGAAACCTACTTTTTTTTCTTTTAGTTTACACATTCAATGATTATTCATGATAACTTCAGTGCCTGCAAACCAAAAATCCTAGAATGGCAAAAAGAAAACATTGTCCTGAATTGCAATAATCTTATACAGGTTGAGTCCTATAAGCCTTATAAGTATCCTCAGTCCTATAAGCCTTCTAACTCTACTATGAGATGAAAATACATTTTAAAACATTTGTTTCAATCTTCTATAATAATACATCTTTTCTGGAGAATCTATATCTAGTGCATGCAAATACAACGTATAATCAAACAAAAGCAGTTGCAAAAAAGCTGTCTTGCCCCTCTTAGCTTCTGATCCCTAAGACTAGCAAAATGCCTAAGTATCTTGTTCTTAGCATATGATTCCTTTCAACGACCATGAAGTGCAGCGACAAGGTGAACTAACAACATCGCAAAGAAGAAGATATGATTTCCCTAAGTCTCACAATCTCACATCAGATAAGTTCCATTCTTTTTTGGAGCAAACAGAATTTCAAAACAACAGATTGTATTGCTTTTCACCCACTGATAATGAACGTCAGGGCCACACAAAAGGGAGAATGCTTTTTGGGCAGAATCTCCTCCTAAACAATCATTAAAGCACTAGCGAATCAACCAGTAAAAACAAACAAATATACATATCTTTCCCTTTCTTAATTAGCTCCATGTGGCTGCTAGCGTCCACCAACCATTTGTAACTCAAAACAGGGGACGAACTTCCGGGCATAATTACCCCATAGAGTAGAGCAGCAAACAAAAACAAAAGGGGTAAAGATAAGGACGCCTCTTGCGTGTGGACGTATTATGGTGTAAGCCCCCAATCCCTTCCCCGCCGCTCTTCGATTCCAATCCGTACCATAACGCTTATATATAGCATAAAAACGTAATGTAAAGTCTCATAATTAGAGATACAAGGCTGGGAGAAATTCCACCTGGAAGAGGATGGTGAGCCGCGCGAGGGGCGCGGTGCACGTCTTGCTGACGGCGCCCGCGAACCCTCCGGCGGCGAGGTGCGCCGCCGTGCCGATGTGGCACTGCTCCTGGCAGCGGCCCACGGCTGCGCCTGCGCGGCTGCCGCCGCCGTCGACGACGACGACGCCCACGCGCGCCTCCGTCTGCATCGGGCGCGCGCTCGGACGGATAAGGCTAGGGTCCGCGGTGGCGGTGTGAACGCGCCTCGCGGGGTTGCGGCGCCGAGGTCGAGGGGCGAAGGCGGAGCGGAATTCGAAGCTGCGAGGGTGGGCGCGGTGTGGCTTCCACCACCGCACGTTTCTCTGCGACTACTCTACCCCTCTACCTCGGGATTTTTAACTTTTCGCCGTCCTTACCGACTGCACTCCTCGGTTTACCATTTTTATATACGTCCCAACATATTTATTATTGTAAATAGTAACCCTCCTATGTTTTTATCATTTTTACTGAGATGCACGTCAGAATGCCTAAGAAGACACGCCATGCGTTGGCAAAGAAACAATGAGAATGCCTCACAATAATAAAAGAAAGGTAAAAGCCAGAAAGCGAATGACCCTTAAAGAGCATGCGAAATGACCTATGTACCCCTGCTGCTTCTCTCCCTCCAATAGCTGACGCGTGGGCCCTACATGTCAGCTTCGTCTTCAACCTCCCACCATCACCCGCTCAGCATCGGCGGCGGCACGTACAGCGCCATCCCGTCCTCGACGGCGGCCCCGCGGAACCTGGCAAGACTTGCCACGTCCGTCTCCATCATCAGGCGGCGAGCCGCGATGCCGGGGCATGCTAGCGGCGGCCACCGGTGACCTCGCCCGAGCATGTACGTGAACCGCTGGCGGCGGCGGCGGCGGCGCTCGTCTTGACGACGACGACATCGAGACGACAGCAATGCCACGCCGACGCCCAGACGGGCACACGGATAGCGTGAAACGAGCTCCCCATTCTGCGGCCATGGCGGCGCGCTGCTCGCGCTCGCTCGCCGCCCGTGTTTCGCCGCGTTCCCTTTCGCGCGCCGCCTCCATCGCGCGCCCTAATCGCGTCCGCTTGCCGCCTTTGCCTGCTCCGCCGCCCCGCTTCTGCCGTATTGCATCAACGGCGTGCCGATGTGCCGGTCGATGACCACTGGCTCCACTCTCGCGCACCCACCCTCTCCTCCGGTCGCGTGTGCGGTGGTCGGCCGAGTTCCCGATTGGGTTTCGGTAGTCGAGGCAGGCGGCGGCGGCGGCGTCGACCACGGTCTTGGCCTCGGTGGTCGTGGACTGGTGGCGAAACGTCAACGAGTCGCCAATGTGGTAGGGTCACATCTTCCAACTTCCATGCGCTTGCCGTGCTCTACGGCATCATCTTCGCCATCATGCTGGTAAGCAACCCCACGACCCTTCCCTGCCTCGACCCCAGTCTGGTCCGATCTATCAGAATTGCGCCATCACATGGGATTTTTTTTGTTGGTTTCAGTTGGTGCTCGACTCAATTGCGCACGCTGGTTTGTTCGTGGGAGGTTGAAGACGAAGCTGACATGTGGAGCCCACGCGTCAGCGATTGGAGGGAGAGAAGCAGTAGGGGTACATAGGTCATTTCACATGCTCTTTAGGCTTTTCTAGGATTTCTGTCACGTTGGCGTGCCCATCGGTGTGCCACCTCAGCAAAAATAACAAAAACGTAGAAGGATTACTGTTTGCGATAGTAAATGTGTAAGGGCGCATATAAAGATGACAAATGGAGAAGTGCCATCCGTATGATAAAAAGTTAAAAATCCCCTCTACCTTTGTCGCTCTTCTTTCTATGTTTTTTTTTACTTTAAAAAAAAGAAGAATTTTTGGACCGGCACAAATCCGACTCGGATTTCAAATTCGTATATGATTTCATCAGAAATTTTACTGGTATATTCTATCTATAGTACAGTAGTATATAGCCAAGTGGATCACGTGCAGCTATTTTTTATTAATTTATTTATCCAGGACAATGCCAAGGCCAGGCACAATGAAGATAGTACTAGTAAGCAATCTGAAATTTCTAAATGTTGTTTGAAAAAACAAAAGATGGAAGTTTTGGTCAGCTACTTCACGGCAGCGACAGGTTGTTTAGCGCATTATCTAATTAATACTACTACTAGTGCTACATTATATGAGCGAATGGGACCATGGTCAAATGGTAGGGCTTCCAGTAAGACGCTACTTGTGATTGTACCTTTTTTTATTTTTTTTCAGAAATTTTAGAGTAAGGCCTCATTTGCTTGGCTGAAATTGACTAAAAAAAATAAGTCAAAGCTGAAATATTATGAGAAAAAAACACTATTCCGATTGAAAACAAACCTAAATAAGTCGTTTTTTAAGGTAAGCCGAACGGGGAATAAATACTACAATGTATGAGGAGCTGGCCTGGACCCTGGAGCATGGCGATGTAGTAACGGGCACGTGGATCACAAGCGACTAGGATGGCTGAACGCCCCAGCATGAACATCTTTCGTTTATTCCTTTTTAAAAGAAATTATCCGCTTAATAATCAACCAAAAAAAATGCATGCATACACCATCCAGCTTTTTCATTTTCTGCAAGTACATTCTTCAGGGGGGAAAGCAATAGAGATGGTGCGATGTGATGCTAATGGATCAGGATTAGCAGCGTAGCTTGCCGTGCGACAACGCGATTAGCACTCGCCAAGTAGGCAAGTAGTCTGAGGAAACTATGCAGGTTTGCAGGGCTACTCATTTCAATATTCGGGTACGGGTGGCAGCGAGAAAAGGTTTGCAAGTAGACAAAAGGTTTGCTTACAGAGGCCCACCAGCACAAAATTTATTGGGCCTCTACGGAGCGAGAAAAACATAGGCCCGGAAGCCCACTAGGTGAAGACGTTACAAACATTTGATGGCATCAGACCCTCTCCAAGATAGATGCTTCAGAGTTCAGAATATACTAACATAAGAGGATTAATTAACGTGACTTTGATACAATAACATGCTATTGCGAAAAGGGCCCTGTTCTGCTGCACTACTTTTTTTTTTCGAAAACTGCTGGCAGGATTATGCCAAGCAAATATATTGATCGAGGAGAGGAAACAATCAAATTACAAGTGAAAAGTCAAAAAGACAAAACAATAATAGGCCCAAAGGCCCAAATGAGAGATTTAGGCCCTCGAAGCAAAGAGGCAAACGGCCTAAACCATAGGCAAAATTTCTCGTAATCGGGCTCCCGCACTACACCGTAATCTAGCCTCTTCTTTGATCTTTGCAATCAGTACCGTCGGCAATCTGTGTCGATTCTAAAATCCGTGCATTTCGCTCTCTCCAAAGCTCCTAGGTGACAAGAAGTTTCATCAATCTTACTGCTCTACTATGCGCCACCACTGAGAGTCCATGTTGGTCTAGCCTTCACAGCTAGGAAAATTTCCATTGGTCCAAGAGCGTATTGCTTCCCAAATTCGTTTTGAATATCTACAATGGGTGAAGAGATGGATGGCCGATTCATCTATGGACACGCAGAGGGGGCAATATTGTTGGTGGGCAACCGCGAGCTGCCAACTGATCTACTGTCCAAAGTCGGCTTTGTATCGCTAGCCATGCAAAAAACTTGCAAGTTGGAGGTACCCAAGTTTTCCAAATTAACCTATCAAAATCTGTGTTTACTGCACCTATGAATTGTGCCAGGTATGCCAAGCGAGCTATGTATTCCCCAGATGCAGTGAGCTTCCATGTAATTTGGTCATGAATTTCCCGATTTATTTCCACCTCCTGTAGCCCTTGCCAAAGGAGAGTAAATTGGTTGAAGTGCTGTACAGTATCAAACCTCAAGAGATTAATGTCCCTCACCCAATTGTTTTCAGTTAAAGCTTGTTGCACAGTTCTGTTCTTCCTCTTACTGATTTGAAAAATCAAGGGTGCCACGTCCTTTGGACATTGTCCATTCCACCAGACCGAGTGCCAAAAGGATGCTTTTGCTCCATTGCCGATTTATGATCTTTGTGGCTGCATTGAAGCGGCGGCGATCTGACTTTGTACAGGGTACCTCCATCCCAAACCATGGCTTGTTGTCAGAACCATCTGATTCTGAGTGCTCTGGAAAAATGTTGAAGGTCAAGAATTCCTAGCCCACCAAGGTTGGTGGGGCGAAGAGATCGCTTCCATAAAACTTTGCATTTACCTCCGGTGATGTGTGTGCCTCCCGTCCATAGGAAACGTCGTCTATGAGAATCCAGCTCAGTGATGATGCCCTTCAGTGGCTTGAGCGAAGTGAGAAAATAAATTGGCTGCGAAGAAAGAACCGACTTGACGAGAGTGTTTCGATCGGCCTGGGTTAGTAACTTCCCTTGACAATGTGCAAGGCTGGAGACTGCCTTATCAATCAGCGGCTGGCAATCAATTTTCCTTAGTCGAATTAAGGTGAGAGGCAAGCCAAGGTACTTGAAAGGGAAGGTTGCTCGGGTTGCCGGGAAGTCTGCTAATACCTGCTGTAGGTTAATGCCTGTAACACCCTCAATCTTTTGCTAAAACATGTCATGAGCATCATGGTTATGTGTCAATGTATGTAATATAGTGTGTGAATCAATTTACGTAACTTAAAACGACCAACGGAAATGCTTAACGAAAGGTCGTTCGTGGCTTATAAAATTATTAAGTACGGATGTTCGCGATTTTTTATAGAACGAAAATACTATAGAACGTACATACGGAACTTTAGTAAAGTTGGAAGTATGAACTTTGTAGATGGCGATGAAATACCTGCGGTCGAGAAATGAATTCACTAGCTGCATACCTAATAGCTTGGAAATCGAAATCGACGCGAATCCGATCAAGACTTAGTCAAATTTCTTAAGTTGGAAAATGGTTTGACAAGGCTAAGTTTGGCAATTTTTATAGAGCAATCGGGTTACGGAGTGATGGGCTATTAGGGCTTGGTTTTAGTAGCCTAACATGCCCTCTTAAGTATAGCATAGGTGGTTTGACAATTGAATCACCGAATTGGATTTTTAGGACGCTTTAAAAAGTGTGCATGGCACGTTCCCGGTCGGTTTCATTGCGTGGGCGCGATCACCGTGCCTCGGGCACTCGGCGTCGCAGCGTCGGCCGTCCGACGCACACACGCACGCACGCACGCACACACGCACACCGTCACGCTTGGCGGGACGCTGGGGCCGTTTGGCCTGGCCGCTCTGC